GATATTTGACAAACTATTAACCAATAATAAAATATTGGATAAACTCGAATCTTCAGAAAGTAAACAGGAACCTCAGTTAAATCTCATTAACAGAATATTAAATAAAAAATGGTATACATTAGTTAAGATAATAGTTAAAAAAGAATAACAATGTTTTCAATTTTACTTCGATAGATAAAAACGAGTTGAGATATGAAGTACAAGTTTTAAGATAGTAAGTACAAGTTTAGATCTTGGCGTACGTTTGGTATCAAAGCCATTAGAAATTAGATCATCTTAAATCTTTATTGTTAGACTATTTTTAGCTGATAATAGTGTTTATAAGATAAGATTAGAATAAAATTAGTCATTTATACGGTAGTCCCAGAGTTTAGGCTCATTGTCGCCCAGTCATTAAAGACCGTTTAAGGCCAGGAAGAGCCGTTCAAGTCGTTCAAGACGTAAGAGGTCGACCAGAGTCATTATCCGTACCTATAAATGGAAAATTTTATTAAAACCTTATCTAATAAAACACTATCATCTTCTAAAAATACTCTAAGGGTAAAAAATAAAGAAGAATTAGTTATTGAAAATATTGAACAACATATTCAAAATTGGAACATACCAAAAGTTCCAATTACAGATGTATATAAAAAAGGAAATTTTAATCTAAAAATAGGATACGCTATCAAAATGGTAGAACAAAGTTTACCTGTTCAAAATGAACAAGAAAATCTTCAGCTATTAACAAATAAAATTATACAATCTCATAAAAATAAAGAATATCAATATCTTCATATAGGACTAATTCAGGTAGCTGTCAAACCTTTAACTAGATTAGGGTTACTTCAATCTTACTATGTCTACGAGATGAAAGACATAATAATTTTTCAGATTCTCTTTTAGGAATGATTGAATCAAGTTTATGTAACGGACCAATCTATTTTAATTGCTTTCCCAATTATGCTATATCATTAAACGATCCTAATTTACTTAGAGTATTAACTTTAAATATTAAAACACAAGGATTTGATATGTTAAAAGGATCTCAAAATATAGCTATAATTTAAGGTGCTGATTTGGCAAGGGGTGAGCTCTCGATTTGATATAAAGGAAGAGAGATAGGACGTAAAGTGGATTCATTCTGGATAGAAAGAGAGCAAATCTTTTCA